GGTCAAGGGCATGTACCTTGGTTGAAGGCACATCCCCAGTAGGGGATATGCAGGTGGCAGCTGATCGATGTTTCTCTTTTATCAATGTTTCTAACTCTCTATCCCTCTCCCTTCCTCTCTGTAAAAAATCAATAAAATATATTTTAAAAAGTCATAACAATGAGACCAGTTTAAATCATAACAGTGACCAGCCATTATGGAAGCTCAGAATTGTATGATGTAGTCATTTGCCCCCAACATATTTAAGAATTAAATAATTACCCATTTGTTTACAATGCAAACTAAACCAGAAACACAGAGAGATTAGAGTTATCTTCCAAAACATTTTTTCTATATTCTTGATTGAAATATGAAGACAATGAAAGATGGAAAACGGGCAAACTGGGCTAGATATAAATATGTAAGAGCTATCAATTGGTAACTTTAAAAATTGCTTTGAACTCTCATACAGATGGAGACATTTAAACTCTGCTATAGCCTTGAGGATCCAGAGTAATCCCATAGGATTTGTCTTGGAATTCAAGTATCATTTCCTCCCTCCCTCCCTCCCTCCCTCCCTCCCTTCCTTCCTTCTTTCCTTCCTTCCTTCCTTTGAGAAAGGGAAAGGAAGAGAGAGAGAGAAACATTGATGTGAGACCAAGACATCCATGGGCAGCCTCCTGCATGACCCCTATGAGGGAATGAGCCTGCAACCTAGGCATGTGCCCTCACCAGGAGTTTTGGTGCACAGGATGATGCTCAACCAACTGAGCCACATTGACCAGGGCTCAGGTATCATTTTCAATACTATTTCTATATGTCCTTTCTCAGATTGCTTCTATATTGTGTTATATGCAGTGACTTGGGGACCAAGAGGTGCTGTATAAAAGCTAAAGATTTGTAAATCAGGCCAAGAAAAGGTAAATTGTTTGCTGATTTGAGATGATGTAAGACCAAAATATAATTGATGATTGAATTTCTATTTGCAACAGATTCACTACAAAAAAAATTTAAGCTCCAGGTAAAAGTATTTAAAAGGTCAGCTTTTTAAAAAGCACCAGTAGATGCCTTGCTGGAGTAGCTTAGTTAATTGAGTGTTATCCCATGCACCAAGGGGTGGCTGGTTTGATTCCTGTCCAGGGCACATGCCAGGTTGTGGATTCAATCCCTACAACAGAGACAGTGGATCCATGTTTTTCTCTCTCTTTCTCCCTCTTCCTCCCTTGCTCCCTCCTTCTCTCCCTTCCTCTCCTCTCCTTCAAAAAAAAAATCAATAAAAACGTTTTCAAAAATAAAAAAAGCATCAGTGAAATTGAGGTTGTGGTGCACGCAGAGAGCATTCTGCATTGGTATAGGATTAAGTCTCAACAGTAATACTCTATTCACTTGGAATGTTTTATGTTTCCTCTGTTGAGAATTTGTTTAAAAGAAAGTTGTAGATGGTTTTCTGGGATGCTTGTTTACTAATAGCAATTATGCTTTTCATGGAGGCTAAAGCTACTCTGCTTTTTTAACTTTACCCATCAGTAAGTGAAGTGCCCAGTGCCTTAATAATCTGTTCTAGGGCTACTTGCCATTTATTGATGAGCATAAAAGTGGCTCTCTTGTGTCCTACAGCTGAATTTGATAGTACTAAATTCAAGGGAAGCCGGGTCATAAATGACCTTTGGAATGACACTATGCTTCATGCAGTTCACCCATTTTCATTGTGGAGACCATCTTCTCTATCCCATCCATGCATTAGTATCTGACTCCTGAAGGAAGGTTTTCAGTGTCCTTCAAAATATTTTATTCTTTATTATTTATTTATTTATTTTTAGATAAGATGCGTTTTTATTGTTTTTTTAAAGAATTAAAAGTTTCCCCCAGACATTTAAAAAGAATAAAAAATGCCCCCAAGCAAGTAAATTTATGTTATATCTTTCTTTACCTGTAATATCTCATATTTGAGGGTAAGTGCATTTTGATATATCTGTAGTTTTGAAGGCATAATAGAACAATGGACTGATAGTCTTCTAGAATCTAGGACACTATTTCTCAAAACTCCTGAAATGTCAATAAATATCTTCCCCTCCCCATAGGAAAAAAAAAATCAAGTTTCTTCAATTCCTTTTTCATATTCCTTAAAAAGAAAAAAGTATTTTGCTTAGTTTATGAATATGTAATGGCTAATATGTATATCAGATACTATCTGTCACTAGAGGCCCAGTGCCTGTACCCTCTCCAATCTGGACCCCTTGGGAGATGTCCAACTGCTGGTTTAGGCCCGATCTCTCAGTCAGACATCCCTCTCACAATCTGGGACCACTGGCTCCTAACCACTCACCTGCCTACCTGCCTGAATGCCCCTAACCCCTCTGTCTGCCTGCTTGATCATCACTAACTGCTCTTCCATGCCAGACTGATCACCCCTAACTTCTCTCCCCTGCCAGCTTGATCGCCCCTAATCACTTCTGTCTGCAAGCCTGATTACCCTTATCTGCTTCTGCCTCAGCCCCCACCACCATGGCTTTGTCCTGAAGATGTCCAGTCTATCTGGTCTAATTAACATATTGCTCTTTTATTAGTATAGACTAATATTTAATATATATAATTAGTGCCCCAGTGCATGGATTTATGCATATTGAAAGAAAATTAATTAGGAGTGGGACTGGGCAAGGCGGGCCAGACACACCCTGGAGCCAACCTCCCATAATTCCTCCTAGGCTGGCCGCATCTGGGGCAGCACTAAGGCTCAAAGGGCATCTGCAGAGTAAGCAGGGTCCCTCTGGCAGGTGGTGTCCCTCCACCTGGCCTGTGGAGATTGGGCTGAAACCAGCTCTCTGACATTTCCCGAAGGGTCCCAGATTGTGAGAGGGTGGTTCTCAGGCAATGCACTCTGGAATCAAGCTCCCCCTCTCTGGTTCCAGAGTGCATCACCTGAGAACCACCACTGCCAAGTAACTGTAGCTTGGCAGCTCCTGCTTTGAGGGTCTGCCCCCTGGTGGTCAGTGTGCATCATAGCTACCCGTCTGAACATCTGCTACCTGGTAGTTATAGCTACCAGTTGGATGGTCACTTAGCCTTTTATATGTATCCTAGTGCACGAAATTCAGGCACATTAAAAGGGAATTAATTAGAGGAAATATTTTAATATTGCTATTTACCCTTTCTCTATAATAGAAGTGTCAGAGATGAAAGAAAATTAGTGAAATGTATATGAAAATCTTCCTTCTGTCAGAGTCTGGAGCACCATGGGACCCAGAATCAAGTCCCCGACCACCCATGTGCGCCTCAAAATTACGTGAGGCCCAGCCTACCCACCCCCATTGGGCTAGATCCAGACCAAGGTGTTCCCACCCTTGTGAAGCCCCCGGGTCAGGGGCACAGCCTCAGGTCCTCTGGCCTGAGTGCCAGGGGGGCATGGCCTGAAATACCCTGTCAAGCCCTGCTGGGTGGAGGAATATGCCTTGAGGTCACCGTCAAACCCCGCTGGGTAGGGGGCACAGCCTTAAGTTCCCCTGTCTGATGCCAGGAAGGGGGTGCAGCCTCAGGTCCTCCGTCAAGAACCACCAGGAGGGGGACACAGCTTCAGGTCTCCTGCCAAGCCCCTCTGGGCAGGGGGCGTGGCCTGAGGTCCCCCATCAAACCCTGCTGGGTGGGGGGCATGGCCTGAGGTCCCCTGGCCCAGCACCAGGGCAGGGCGCACCTCTTGAGGTTGCCCATAAAGCCCCGCTGGGTGGGGGACAGTTCCCTCAGGTTCCCCTGCCTGGCACCTTGGTGGGGGCATGGCCTCAGGTTCCTTGTCAAGCCCCACGGGGGTGAGAATGGGGCACAGCCTCAGGTCCCTGCTGATTACTTATTAAGGCTCATTACAGGAACTCGGCCTCCATTGTGGGTACAAATCTCTAATGTTATGGAAAGCCCCGCCTCTGCTGTGGGTGCTGTTATCTTTGTGGTGGAGTGATGGTAAATTTGCATATTCTGTCTTTATTATATAGGATAGATGACTAGATTCTTACTAAAGTTAGATATCATTCATGGTCAGCAATTATTTGAAGGTATGCCTAAGTGGATTTATATTGAGCATAGGATGAATTTATTTTCATGGCATGCAGCCTTGTTGTGTGTTTTTTTGTTTTGTTTTTGTTTTTAGTATAAAAACATTAAAATTGTTCCAGAAAATCACTTTAGACATTATATACATGATGCATGTGTAGTTTCACTTAAATTTTGTGATTTGCTTAGCTTAAAAAAATACATTGTTTCACTCAATACAATGTTTTGTAAATGAGTGCTAGTTAGAAAGACATTTTAATTTAACATATTGTATAGATTATATGAACATTTTTTAACTATTGTGTTTCTTTTGTGATTTGGACCTTAAAGATGTTTTTTCAAAGATCTTTAAAACTAAATGCAATGCAAAAAATAGCTTTTAAAATTATTTTCAATTACTGTTTATATTCAATATTATTTTGTATTAGTTTTAGTTGTACAGTATAATGGTTAGATAATCATACTTTATATCATAGTGATATTTCCAGTACCCACCTAGCACCATACATAGTCATTACAATATTATTAACTGTATTTCCTATGCTGTGCTTTACATTCCCATGACTATTTTGTAACTACCAATCTGTACTTCTCAATCCCTTCACATCTTTCACTCAATCCCCCATTCCCTCTGGCAACCATCAGTCTGTTTTAATTTTGTTTGTTCTTTTATTTTGTTCTTTAGATTCTGCATATGAGTGAAATCATAAGGTATTTGTTTTTCTCTGACTGACTTATTTTACTGAGCATAATACCCTCTAGTGCAGTGGTTCTCAACCTTTCTAATGCTGCAACCCTTTAATACAGTTCCTCATGTTGTGGTGACCCCCAACCATAAAATTATTTTTGTTGCTACTTAATAACTGTAATTTTGCTACTATTATGAATAGTAATGTAAATATCTGTGTTTTCCGATGGCCTGAGGCTCTACAACAGCGGTTCTCAACCTGTGGGTCACCTAAGATCATTGGAAAACACAGATATTTACATTGATTCATAACAGTAGCAAAATTACAGTTATGAAATAGCAACGAAAATAATTTTATGCTTGGGGTCACCACAACATGAGGTACTGTATTAAAGGGTCGTGGTATTAGAATGGTTGAGCACCACTGCTCTAGTCCATTCATGCTGTTGCAAATGGTCAGCTTTCATTTTTATGGCCAAGTAATATTTCATTGTGTATATGTACCACCACTTTTTTTATCCACTCATTTATTGATGGGCTCTTGAGTTGCTTCTGTATCTTGGCTATTATAAATAGCGTTGCAATGAACTTACTGTACATGTAATTGTGTGGAATAGGGTGCATACATTGTTTTGAATTAGTATTTTGGGTTTCTTTGTATATATACCCAGAAAATGAATTGCTGGGTCATAGGAAGTTCTATTTTTAATTTTTTGAGGACCTTCCATGCTGTTATTCATAGTGACTGCACCAATCTGAATCCTCACCCTCAGTGTATGAAGTTTCCTTTTTCTCCATATCCTTGCTAATGTTTATTTGTGGATTTATTGATGTTGGCCATTCTGACAGGTATGAGGTGGTATCTCATTGTGATTCTAATTTGTATCTCCCTGGTGATTAGTGACATTGGCCATCTATATGTCCTTTTTGGAGAACTGGGTATCAGATTGTGTTTCCATTTTTAATTGGATTGTTTGTTGGTGTTTTCATGTTGAGTAGTATGAATTATTTATAAATTTTGGATATTAACCTCTTATTAGATGTATCATTGGCAAACATCTTCCTTCATTCCAAAGTAGATTGCCTTTTTTCTATGTTGATGGTTTCCTTTGCTGGGCAAAATCTTTTCAGTTTGATGAAGTTCCATTTGTTCGTTTTTCTTATTTCCCTTGCCTGAGGAGATATATCATGAAAAAAAAAATATTGCTAAGATAAATATCAGAAATTTTCTAGGCTATGTTTTCTTTCAGTAGTTTTATGGTTGTGAGCCTTATATTTAAGTCCTTAATCCATTTAATGTTTAGTCTTATATAAACTATAAGAAAGTGGTCTAGTTTAACTTTTTTTAAATTTATTTTTCCAATTTTCCAGTACCATTTATTGAATAAACTGTTTTTACCCCAATGTATGTTCTTGCCTCCCTGTCAAACATTAATTGAACATATAGATGTGGGTTTATTTCTGGGCTCTCTATTCTGTTCCATTGAACCAGATATTTGTTTTTTGCCAGTATCATGCTGTTTTGATCACTATGTCCTTGTAGAATAGTTTGATATCAAGTAGTGTGATGCCTCCAACTTTATTCTACTTTTTCCCTGTTACTCTAAACAGCTTTTCTTGATTTGGCTTTTGTTTGCTTTTCCAGGCTGGCCACTTTGAAACCCCCTTTCCCTACTCTATGCTAATATACTGTTCAGCAGATTGACAGATTCAGCCAGTAAGAAACAATAAACCCAAGTGTATTTTGTCAGTTACACGGAGAGCAAAAGCCAGATCAGCATGGTATTATCTACCTATCCTTTGTTCCAAAGTGTGGCATTAGAACAAGTGTCCGAATGATTGGCAACACAGTGGTACAGCACTTAGTTGCTGATAAAATGTTTCTGTATTGCAACTAAGAGCCTTTCAAGCTTGAACCTGTACCCAGAGTGGAGAGGGTGAATCACAAAGCCTCTTTCCTCACTGGAATGAGGGAGACAGATGAGAAATTGTCATGGCAGCCTGTCTCAAGATAGGATAATGAGTGTGAGATGACCTTGTAGCAGCTCCTTACAAGATTGCTTATATCTCCATGTTCTGGCAGGATACATAATGCCCTGCCAAGCCTCGGGACAACCTTGTTTACATGGCTATGTACATGCATGCAGTATCATCAGGGCACCAGCATGGAGCAGTTCCCCTACTCTATCATCCAGTGACACCGAAATACCTCACTGGTGTGTTCATTTTCCCTTTTCACTTTTACTTCAGGGTATTTCTGCTTGTTCATGCCCACAGATTTATTTTCTCTCACTTCGGTTGGTGTTTTCTGGGATTGACCCAGAGATCTAAATCTCAGATCCTGAAAATGGTTCTGGTTGAAGATAAACTAGTCAATCCATACAAATGTTGAAATAAATTTCTAGATCCAAGATGGAGCCACTCATGCCTGGGGTGCCATATCAGCAAACTAAAACTTAGATAACTGTCATGTCCCTGTAAATGCTCTGCTTGATCAGAAATGTAGTATATCCAGTCGGCCAATCCCCAAATGCCAAAGCAATGCTGATCTTCTCATTCTAAACAAGGTTGACTCTGTGGCCCCAGCCAATGAGATCTTTTCTATTTTCTCTTCCTTGTTCTTTATCCTTCATAAAAGCTTCCTGCCTTGTGTCCCATTCTGCAGTTCTCCAAACGGAGACTCTCTACTTCATCAAGTGGTAAGTAAAGTTTATTTCACCTAAATTTCCTTCTTTAATAATGTTTAACATGGTAAATAAGTTAATATCTGTTAAATTGGAAAAATAAATATTTCCTAGACTATACACATACATGGAGCATTTGAACTGGATTTAATGTGAAAGTTTTAATAATAAATGATGTGTTTGAAAGCTTTGTTTATGTTTAAATTTTCAACTGATGATTGCAACATGTAGATATACCTCCTCAGAGAATGATTATCTAGCTTTTTAAAAAATATATTTTATTGATTTTTTTACAGAGAGGAGAGGAGAGAAATAGAGAGTTAGAAACATCGATGAGAGAGAAACATCGACCAGCTGCCTCCTGCACATCTCCTATTGGGGATGTGCCCACAACTAAGGTACATGTCCTTGACCAGAATCGAACCTGTGATCCTTCAGTCCACAGGCTGACACTCAATCCACTGAGCCAAACCGATTAGGGCTATTTAGCTTTTTATTTCTTTTACTGATGGTTACATAGTTCAAATGACTTACTGTTAAGATTATAGGCCCATATATGTAACTTTTTTTCCTATTTTGACCCTGAATATTTTTTTAATATATTGTATTGATTTTTCACAGAGAGAAAGAGAGAGGGATAGAGAGTTAGAAACATCGATGAGAGAGAATCATTGATCAGCTGCCTCTTGTACACCCCCTACTCGGGATGTGCCGGCAACCAAGGTACATGCCCTTGGCCGGAACCGAACCCGGGACCTTTCAGTCTGCAGGCCGACGCTCTATCCACTGAGCAAACCGGTCCCGGCTTGACCCTGAATATTTTTAATAAAAGGTATCAAGAAATCAATAAGCACTTCAAAACATGCATAGTTTTTCTTATTCAAACAGATAAAAATAAGAGGATAGGAAATATGTACCATTTTTACAAAGGGCATTTAGTAAAAGCCTATCTTTAAATAGACAGATATTATCTATCTGTCTATCTATCTATCTATCATCTATATATTTCCCTATAACCTAATGGGGTAGCTTGGTTATTTCTTTTTTAAAAATAATTTTTTATTGATTTTTTTTGAGAGAGGAAGGGAGAGAGATAGATATTTAGAAACATCAATCGGCTGCCTCCTGCACAATCTATACTGGGTATTGGGCCTGCAACCCAGGGATGTGCCCTGACTGGAAATCAAACCAGTGACCTCTTGGCTCATGGGTTGATGTTCAACCACTGAGCTACACCATCCAGGCACGTTTTTATTCCTGGAGATAATTTTAACAGATTGTCCTGATATGAGCCTTAAGAATGAAAACTATATTTGTAATGGTATTCCCTAGATTATTAGGCAGACTTTCTTGCCTTTTCAGTTCAATTTCTTATATCCTTATTTATAAGATTAGAACAGGAAAAAAGTGTATCATCTAGGAATTGTTAATCCCACATGCATATAAATATACATAATACACATGGAGACATACATGCCTGCATGTGCTACTTTGCCCCAGTCTACATCTTCTGAAGAAAAAAAAATCTCTAGAAAACACCGTTGTTTCCTTTAAGTGTCAGAGATTCATTTACTTGACTTAAATGGATTGTCTCATTTTTAAAAAACAAAAGAGAAGAAAAATGAGTGACCAAGTTTCAATAGTTTGTATTATCAGTTTGCAGATATAATCTTTCTTCTCCACTGGTATGTCTCTTAGTGTCTGGATTAATACCTAGGATATAGGAGACAATAATCAATTTTTTACTGAATGAATAAATGCTGAACTTATATAAAAGATAGAAAATGCTGGCATAAGGGTTTTTTTGTGTGTTTTTTTTCTTTTTTGCATCTGTTTATTGAAAGAGCCAATTTACCATCTAAGAACTTAGACCATTTCAGATCACTTTTCAAATAAAAGGATAAATACTCTTATCACAATTATCTTAACATTCAAATTATGATTGTTGAAAGTAATTGTCTAACACCTTCTACTTCTCAACCCCATCTGTAAAAACAGCTAAGTATATACCATTATACAAAATTTTTTGTGCAATATATATTACAATACTGCTTTTTTTTTTTTTATAACTTCCCATCTTTTTTATAGCTCCAATTGCTTACTTAAGGGAAGAACATTTATACTTGACAGGGCTGTGACTAATATCCAAATTTTCTGTGCTTCTCAGAGTGACCTGTCTTGGCCTAAGGATAGGTGGCTGAAATAATTTTGTACAAGCTAATATTAGGATCAGTTTTACATGGCAGAGCCCAGATGTTATCTCTGCCCCCAAATTCTATAAGACACTGATCTAAAGATATGTGTCTCCCATTGAAATTATCTTAAATGACTGTACTTTCTAATAAAATTTTGTTGTTGCTGTTAATTCTCACCTGAGGAAATTATTCCAGTGATTTTTTTTTGAGAGGGTGAGAGGAAGAGGGAGGAAGGAATAGAGAGAGAGAGAGAGAGAGAGAGAGAGAGAGAGAGAGAGAGAGAGAGAGAGAGATTACTGTGAGAGAGACACTTTGACTGGTTACCTCACATGTGCTAGGGAATCAAACGCACAAACTTTCAGTGCATGGGCTGATGTTCTAACCATTGAGCTTGCTGGCCATGGTGCCTTCTAATAAATTTTAAACCACTTAAGAATTATCTTTAAAAAAAAAAAAAGAATTATCTTTTTATTTATTTTTTTATTTTCTTCACTTCCTAGCATACTACCTCACATATTATAGTTATCTTGGTGTTTATGGGATGAAAGTACTAACAATCTATAAGTCATGGTATTAATATAGTATTTGAAATTAGAACTTCATAAAAATAAGCTCTGTAATTATACATTTTTAATATCTCAAAATATTTAATGATTAATTATGACATGCTAATCATAGAAAAGGAAACATATAAAAAAGAATAAAAATGATCTAAAGATGTTAAAATTCTGATGGTGTATTTTCTCTCTTCTTTATATTACACTAGAGGCCTAGTGCCTGAATTCATACACAAGTGAGGTCCCTAGGCCTGGCCTGTGGGATCAGGCTGAAACTGGCTCTCCAGCATCCCGAGGTGTCCTGGATTGCAAGAGGGTGCAGGCCAGGCCAAGGGACCCCACTGGTGCATGACTGGGACAGGGAGGGATGTGAGAGGTTGGCCAGCCATGGAGCAATGGTTCCAGGGCATATCTGACCTGTCTTACTCAGTCCTGATCAACCAGGCACCAGCAGCAAGCTAACCTACGGGTTGGAGAATCAGTCTCCTGGTAGTCACTGCATGCCTTAGCATATCATTAGCATATTACACTTTGATTGTTTGAAAAAATGACCACATGCTTAGCATATTAGGCTTTTATTATATAAGACTAGATTCCCAGTGCACGAAATTTGTGCTTTGGGGTGGGGGGGTGTCCCTCAGTCCAGCCTGAACCCTCTCCAATCTAGGATCCCTTGAGAGATGTTTGACTGCCTGTGTAGGCCTGATCCTGGTGAGATCAGGCCTACACAGCAGTCAGACATCCCTCTCACAATCCAGGACTACTGGCTCCCAACCACTCACCTGCCTGCCTGATTGCCCCTAACTGCTTCTTCCTGTCAGCCTGATTACCCCCTAAACACTCCCCTGCCAGCCTTATTGATGCCGAACTGCTCCCCTGCCAGCCCGATTGTCCAGAACTGCCTTCCCTGCTGGCCTAGTCACCCCTAACTGTCCTCCCCTTCAGGCCTGGTGGCCCCCAACTGCCCTACCCTGCTGACCCTGTCACCCCTTACTGCCCTCCCTTACCAGCCTGGTCTCCCCTAACTGTCCTCCTCTGCTGCCTGGTCATCACCAACTATCCTCACCTGCAGGCTTGGTTACCCCCAACTGCCCTCCCATTCAGGCCTGGTCCCCCCAACTGCCCTCCCCTGCAGGCCTGAACCCCCCCCCCAACTGTCCTCCCTGCAGGCCTGGTCAACCACAACTGCCCTCCCCTGCTGGCCATCTTGTGGTGGCCATCTTGTGTCCACATGGGGGCAGCCATCATTGACCACATGGTGATGGCCATCTTGTATGTTGGAGTGACTGTCAATTTACATATTATTCTTTTATTAGATAGGATACTTATAATACAGTTGTATTTTCTTTTATCTTAATCAGTATTATAAGCATTTTATTGTATTAAAATACCTTCACATACATTTGTCTTTGGACTGAATGATATTTTATCTTATAAATTACTATAATTTATTTATGTACCCTATTAATAAAAATGCATTTTGCTCCCAGTGTTTTACTATTAGAAATAATTCCCTTGTGAATCATTTGACTGTATATTTGACTACTTTTTTCAGCTATATTCTTAGAAATTGAATTATGATATCAAATAGTATGAACATTTTAAAAATTTTTATTTAAATGTATCTTTATTGTTGAAAGTATTACAGATGTTCATTTTTTTCCACATTGACCCCCTACACTCACCCCCACACCCCCAAGGCCTTCACCACACATTTTTTATATATGGATGAGGGGGAGAGAGAGAGAGAGAGAGAGAGAGAGAGAGAGAGAGAGAGAGAGAGAGAGAATCATCCATTTCTTGTTCCACTTATTTATACATTCATTGGTTGGTTCTTGTATGTGACAAGATATCAAACCCCACATACTTGGTGTTTTGGGATGATGCTCTAACCAACTGGCACTTGATACGTAGTGCCAATTAACTTTGCAAAATTTTTGTAAAACTTATAATCCTAATAGTAGTTTATTACTGTATTTGCTCCCCAAATTTGTATCAGTTTAGAAAAAAATAAGCCTAAATATGGCATGTTTTATAAAAAAAATATATATGTCAAATGGCAGATATAAATCCAACAATATTAATAATCACTAAATGTGAATGGATTATCAATCCATTTCAGAGGCAGCGATTAACTAAAAAATAATCAAACTATGCTATCCTCAGGAGACATAGTTTAAGGACATAAATAGATTGAAAATAAAAGGATGGGAAATGATGTATCATGTAAACAGCTACCACAAGAAAGTTAGACAATAGGTACCACAAGAAAGTTACATTGTCTATATAAATATCAGACACAATAGACTAAAAGGAGAAAATTGGTATTGGAGAAAAAATGGAAAAAATTTAGTGATAAAAGGATCAATTAATTAGGAAGACATAACAACTGTAAACATATGAACCTAGCCGAGACCAGTTTGGCTCAGTGGATTGAGCATCGGCCTGCAGACTGAAAGGTCCCGGGTTCGATTCCGGCCAAGGGCATGTACCTTGGTTGCGGGCACATCCCCAGTGGGGGGTGTGCAAGAGGCAACTAGTCGATGTTTCTCTCTCATTGACGTTTCTAACCCTATCCCTCTCAATTTCTCTCTGTGTAAAATGAATAAAATATATTAAAAAAAACAAAAATAACACATATGAACCTAATAATAGGGCACTGAAATAAAGCAATAATGGACAGAAATGAAGAGGAAAATAGATAATTTAACATTAATATTGACTTTAATAATACATAATCAATTATTTATAGAGCTAGTGCGAAAATATCAACAAGAAATAAAATACTTGAGCAACACTGTAAAATAACTTGACCTAAATCATTATAGAACATTTCACCCCAAACAATAGAATATACTATAATATTTTTCTCAAATGTACATGGACTATGCTCCAGGATCCACCAAATGCTAGGCCATAAAGCAAATCTCAATAAATTAAAAAGGATACAAATAATACAAAGTATGTTCTCCCACTACAATGGAATGAAATTCAAAATTAGTATAGTAGGAAAAAGTTGGGAAACTCCAAATATGTGGAAATTAAACAAAACACTCATAAAATTCCTGTGTGTCAAAGAAGACCCATCTGAAGGGAAACCAAAAAGTACTTTTAGGTGAACAAAAATGAACACACAACATACTAAAATATATGGAATGCATCTAAAGCACTATTTAGAGAGAGATTTATGGTTTAAAATGCTATTAAAAAACAAGATAACATTTTAAATCAATAACTTAGTCTTCCATCTAATGACACTGGAATAAGGAGAAAAAACTAAATTCAAAGCCAGGAGAAGGAAGGAAATAATGAATATTAGATCAGTGATATAGAAAATAGGAAAGAGAATCATTGATACCAAAAGTTGGTTCTTTGAAAGAGCAACAAAATTGACTAACAGTTAATTAGCATGAACCAAGGAAAGAAAAGAGTCAAACCTAGCCATCATGGCTAAGTGGTTGAGCATTGAATTATGAACCAGAAGGTCATGGCTCCATTCCAGTTAGGGTATATGCCCAGGTTGAGGGTTTGATCCCCAGTAGGGGGTATGCTGAACAATGATCCTCTCTCATAGTTGATGTTTCTATCTCTCCCTCTCCTTCCCTCTCTGAAATCAATAAAAATATTTTAAAGGAAAGTCAAATTACTAGAACTAGAAATTAAAAGAGGACATCATTTGTCAAATTATAGGTATAAAAACGGTATGAAGGACAATTATGAACAATTGTATATTAAATTAGATAACCTAGATCAAGTGGGCAAATTCTTAAAACATGCAAATGATAAAATTGACTCTAGATACTATGAATAGACTTATAACAAGTGAAGAGACTGAATTAGTTAATAAAGTATCCACAAAGAAAAGTCCAGTCCACAAATCTGGGCTTTGGAGCGTTTTAGCTGCCTCAGATAGCAAACCCCCAGGACACCTTCTCTAAGTTGAAGGTGAAAATCTTTTCTGGTCAGCTGGGGTCATATTCTACAACATCATGATAGCCCTGTACCCCTTTGAGGGGGACAACACCTACAAGTTATTTGAGAACATCAGGAAAGGGTGTTACATGATCTTAGGTGACTGCGGCCCCACTATTGTACCTGCTGAAAGGGATGTTGTAATATGAACCTGCCAAGCCATTTTCCATAATCGTTCTAGCTGTGGGCTGAGGAGCTGGTGCCCATCCCACCAAGCAGGACTGCAAGGACCGGTGGTGCAGCATGACTGTGGTGCCCTCCTGGAGGATTTCTACAGCTGTGGCAACATAGAGGAGGACCTCTCCAACATTGAGCACAGCATAATCTACATCAGGACTTCATGGTGCCCAGACCCAGACAAGATGCCCAGACTCAGAAGCAGAGACCAGTCAGAACAGACAGAGCTGTGGCCTGCCCATGGCTGTGTGCATGAATGGCACTCAGTTGGCCCAGCTGAGCACCAAATCAAGGGTGGAGCACTGGGCCAGCACAGCCTCCATGTTGCTCACAGCAAAATCTGCAAGCTATTGGCCTGTACACAGAATTGAGGGTGGGTTACTTTAGCCATCCCCAAGAGCACTGGCCAAGTGCCACCATCCAGGTCCTCCCCCAGGCTTCCTTACAACTGTGGGCCAGTGCCCAGGATGGCCACCTTCAATACCCTCTATGCTAATTGCCCCTAAGGAAAATGATGGGTCCTGAAGGGCTGGCTGTTGGACATCAGGAACTGGTATCCACACTTCCCCTGAGCAGTGATGGGACACAACCTCCTGTTGACTTTGCAATCCTGAGGCTGTGTGGTGTGCCACAGACCTCACCCTGCACTATATGCCTAGACCACTGGTTCTAGACAACTTCACTTCACTTCGTTAGTGCCTCCTACACCCAGCAATTTGTTCCAATGAACTGCAGATGAGCCAGGATAGAGAGGCCTGCCCAGCACCTTGCAGGAATCATGGGGCTGTCTTGTTTTTCTGGGTTTTTTTTTTTTTTTTTTTTTTTTGCTGGTTCCTCTCTCTCTCTCTCTCTCTCTCTCTCTCTCTCTCTCTCTCTCTCTCTCTCTCTCTCTCTCTCTCTCTCTCTCTGCTCCAGTATAATCTATTCTCCTTTACTTTCTCTCTCTCTTTCCTCCCTTCCTTTCTAAAAAATAAAACAGTTGGATTTTAGGGGGTAAATGAAATTCCAGTCCCAAATGGTTTGCTGAATTCTACCAAATGTTTAGGAGAATTAACAGTAATTTGTCATTTAAAAAAAAATTGAAAAGGGGAGAACTTTCCAACTCACTTTATGAGGCCAGGGTTACCCTGATATTCAAACCAGGCAAAAGATATCACAAGAGCCCAGCCAGCATGGCTCAGTGGTTGAGTGTGAACCTATGAACCAAGAGGTCACGATTTGATTTCCCATCAGGGCATGTGCCCAGGTTGTGGGCTCAATCCCCAGTGTGGTGTGTGTAGTAGGCAGCTGATCAATGATTCTTGCTCATCATTGATGTTTTTATCTCTCCCTCTCCCTCCTCTCTAAAATTATATATCTATATCTATCTATCTATCTATCTATCTATCTATCTATCTATCTATCTATCTACAAAAAATAAAAAAGGAAGATTAGTATATTTTATGGATATGAACACAAAAATCCTCTACAACAGCGATTTTCAACCTTTTTTATCTCATGGCATACATAAAGTAATAACTAAAATTCTGCAGCATGCCAAAAAATATGCATGTTACTGATATGACAAAAATAGGTATAATTTTGATTTATTTACCAAAAAATGTAAATACCTACCCTTTTGTTTTAAAGTGACTTTTTGTAAAAAATCAGGTGCCTATACTTGTATATAAGTATTTCTGGTACCAAGAATTAACCAATTAGTCACAACCTTATTATGTGATGGACAAAATGCAACCCTGATATATATAAGGTATTCACACAAGACCACTATTGCATTGGCTGTTGTCATTTTTTTAATTTAATAATCTAAAGGAAAAGAGATCAGTGCCCCGAACTAAACAGTTAGGTATTGTATGTTTTAAAAAATCTTGTAGCACATCAGTTGAAAATCACTTCTCTACAAAATACCAGCAAAAACATCCAAAACATATAAAAGTCCACCTATGGGGAGAAGCTTGATGAGAATTTCTTCCTGAAACATACAGGTTTTGGTATCTTGTCCTATCAGGATAGTTTTATGAAATGAAAGGAAAATATTCAGAATTATAACCAACTAAAGGCCTGGTGCATGAAATTCATGCATTAGGGGGGTGGGGGGTGTCCTCAGCCCTGCCTGCAACCTTTCACAGTCTAGGAGCCCTCTGAGGATGTCTGAGTAACAGCTTAGGCTCGTTCCCCATGGGCTTCTGGCTGAGACATGTACCCAACGTGGGAGTGCACTGACCACCAAGGGAAGCTCCCGCATTGAGTGTTTGCCACCTGGTGGTTAGTGTGCATCATAGCAACTGGTCATTCTACCATTTGGTTGATTTGAATATTAGCCTTTTATTATATAGGATTCCCCAAATCAATTCATCTCACTAGTTCCCCTCCTTTCTTTATCAAAGCTCAACTTCCTAAACTGTAGTTTTCCAGAATTTTTTTTTTTTTTAAGAATGTTGTTTTAACTTTCTGGGAAATGTTTTTTGATGAGGTTTAGATATATTACCCATGTGAATCTTCTGATGCATTTGGTTAGCCTGTGATATTTTAATGCCATGTAATAAAACCTTAAATGTTGCCAAAACCCAGTGGATAGAATGTAGGCCTGTGGACTGAAAGGTCCCAGGTTCGATCCCTGTCAAGGGCATGTAACTTGTTTGCAGGCACATCCCCAGTAGGGGGTGTGCAGAAGGTAGCTGATCGATGAGTCTCTCTCATAGATGTTTCTAACTGTCCCTCTCTCTTCCTCTCTGTAATATATATATATATATATATATATATATATATATATATATATATATATATAAACCTTAAATGTCAATTCCCTTGTCCCTACATTTTTGTGTTAGAAGTGGGGTTATATCCTACACTACTAACATAATCTTTGCTTACAGACTGATTACCAGTGTGGAATGTTAGTTCCTGTAACACAACAATTAATGATCTTATGATCAACCGTAAATACCCAGAGCTAGGTATCTCTCTCGTTAGCAATACTAAAGGGTAGACTTTCTAAGGTAAGAAGTTTTCTAGTCATGACTCTAACAAATTGACTTTAGTTAGGTCATCTGACTTATTGATTTAAGATTTAAGACTAATATGGCTCTTATTGTGTGCTAGGAATGATTATAAGTGCTTTATAAACATTAACCCATTTAAAACTCACACTAGTATTATGATATATATATATATATCTCCTTATTTTCATCACTTAACACGTGATGGAACTGATGCACAGAGTCCAAGTTACACAGTGATGCTGAAATTGCAGAACTTGGATTCACAACTAGACATATCAGCTCCAGCTTCATCACTACACTATCTCACCTTCAATGTAGATTGTGTTAAGACATTAATTATATGAATGTTGGTTTTCTGTGCTTTCTATGTTCCAGATTAATTATCACTGAATGGTTATTAGGGCACCAGGGGTGACACTTGATCAGACCCTGTGTAGCATCCACATTCCAGGAAGTTAATAATGGCAAAAGCTAGATACACAGTCACTGGCCTCAAAAAATAAGTCAAGCTGGTATGACGACAGGGCACCCTGCTATTGGAAGTGATCTTAGTCAAGTTCCACAAAGTGTCAGTTAGCAATATTTCAAGGCTAACAGATCACTCATAACTACCACAAGGAACAAACAGAATTCTCAATCATTAGGAAAACCTTCAATTACAGGACTATAACAGTTCCTAAACTATGGAAGATATTGTCTCATTTCTAAAATTATTAGGTTCATAGACGCCCTGTGTTTTAAAAATAGGTAGCCCTTACACTTGGTAAAATCAAGAACTACAGTGTCCATTAGAGGCCCACTTGCATTTGAAGTTTCTTATTCACTCATCGAGATATGTGAGATCTTAATTAGCTATGAAACTAAAATCATTGACAGTCTTCTCAGGTTGGCATTCAATACTCCTTACAGAAACTGGTTTAGAAAACTCATACAAAAAAGTCTCAACAAACATGCAGTTTCAGTTTTAAATAGTACTTTCATGACAACTAGTAATCCTAAATTCCTAAATAGGAACTCAACATTCAGAAAACTGTCCCAATCCAAAATAAACTGGTCTAACACTAGCTCTACGTTATGATGACTGAACAGATTTGTTTTCCATGTTACTATATCCTAGACAATTACTTGTATTTTAAACAAATTCTATAGCTGAGGCAGCAGCTTTTTTTTCTTCTGAAGATATTGCAAATTTTAATTAACTTTTATTTTTTTATATATTTTATTGATTTTTTACAGAGAGGAAGAGAGGGATAGAAAGTTAGAAAAAATGATGAGAGAGAAACATTGATCAGCTGCCTTCTGCACACCTCCTACTGGGGATGTTCCCGCAACCAAGATACATGCCCTTGACTAGAATCGAACCTGGGACCCTTCAGTTCGCAGGCCGACACTCTAATCACTGAGTCAAACCGATTTCGGCTTAATTAACTTTTAAAGTCCCTCGTGCCAGATCTTACAAGCTTAACTCTCTAATAGACTAGGTCATACAATTAACGTTAAACAAAAAGTAAAGATCAGGTGAATGTTACACTTTAATTATCTATGACATCATGCTCTTTTGACACGCAGGATGACCCACAAAAAAAAAGGAGAGATTGATGGCACCAGCAGTGAAATCTAATTAAATACTCATTAAAATCTGGCCAGTAAGATCCAATGAATAAAAAAAAAATATAAGATAAAATCCAGTGTAATAGTTAACTACTTCAAAGACTGATTGGACTATAACTACCATTTGCTATCTTACAAATAATTTCAATTTTTGTATTTATCTTACAAATAATTCCAATAAATTAAGGCTATTTTCTCTGGTGCCACATCTGCCAAACTTAAGTCTGTATCTTCTATGTAATTTTAATTAACTCCCTCACACCAAATTTGGGATAAATACCTAAAAATTATGTCATCCTATATAATAAAAATCTAATATACAAATAGACCGAATGGCATAACAACCAAACAACCAATCTCTATGACATGTGTTGACCACCAGGAGGTGTGCGCAAAACATGGCAGGCGTCGGCTGCTGCAGGATGGTGGAGCAGGTGAGTGTGGGTGCCAGACCAAGGCAGGGTGCCAGTCACTGTCACCAGGGCGAGCCTCTGGTTACAGGAAATTCTTTGCTCCCCGACGCTGATGTCCCCCCTGATCACTCAGTACCATTAGCGGATGCAAGCAGCAGCTGCCAGCCTTGATCACCACTCAGGGCTTCTTCACCTCCCCCTACTCTTGAGGGGTAATTGGGGCAGCAGCTGCTGCTTCCACCTGCTGCTGGCACTGGCCCCAATTACTCCATGCTGTCAGTGGGTGCCAGTGGAGCTGGTGCTGTCAGTGCATGGGAGCAGCAGCAGCGGTGGGAGTGGGGCTTCTGGCAGACAGAGGACTGTGGACCACCACAGGAGGGGCTGGTCCAGCAGACCCAACCCTGTGCCTACCTCAGCCTCTTGGCTCACAGTTCCTTTCAAGGTGCACATATTTATACACTGGGCCCCTAGTTTCTAAATAATGAACATTCATATGAAAGCGATTAATTCCAGAATCATCTTTATGATCTCTCTTAGAAATAGTGTCTAACACTGGACCATGCTTTTTCTTTGACCAGGTGAATTTATACTGGTGAAGTTTGCAATTAGTCCATGATTTACATTGAACAAATATCTCTCTGACTATATGTTAAATGCCAACAATAAACATAATTATTTATCATCTATCTAAATAATCTCTATGCTTCTCTATGGTAACAATATATTTCAAAAATGAAAACAAATATTTTTAGGTTCTCTACATAATATGGCCACAGAAAATAACCAAAAGATTGTCCTGGTCTTTGTAGTTATATTAAAATTAATATATTTTGTGAGAGGGATGTCCAACTGCCCATTTAGGCCTGATTCTAATGGGATTGGGCCTAAATGGGCAGTCAGACACCCCTCGAGGGGTCCCAGATTGGAGAGGGTGCAAGCGGGGCTGAGGGACACCCCCAACCCCCGTGCATGAATTTCGTGCACTGGGCCTCTCATAAACATATAAATAGATATATATAGCTATAGGTATATATACTATCTCTTTATCCATTCATCTGTTGATAGGCATCTATATTGCTTCTATATCTTTGATATTGTAAATAATGCTGCAATGAACATAAGCGTGCATATATCTTTTAAAATTTATGTTTTCGTTTTCTTTGGATAAATATCCAGAAGTGGAAATACTGGGTCATATGGTAGTTCTATTTTTAATTTTTTGAGGAATCTCTATATTACTTTCCATAGTGTCTACACCAATTTGAAGTCCCACCAACAGTGCATAAGTGTTCACTTTTTTTCCACAACCTCTCCAACATGTTATTTGTTTATTCTTTGATAATAGTCATTCTGACTGGCATCATATAATATGAAACCAAGGTACATACCCTTGACAGAAATCTAACCTGGGACTCTTTGTGTCTGTGGGCCAATGCTCTGTACACTGAGCCAAACCAGCTAAGATGTATTGGTGGGAGTTTTTCTGTTTGTATTGGTTTTTTTTTGTTTTGTTTTTTTTTTTGTTTTTTTGTTTTTTTTTTAGTTTAATCAAGAGAAATTTATTTTATATTTAATTTTAATTACTATTGACACTTAATATTATTTTATATTAGTTTCAGGTGTATAGCATAGTTGTTAGACATTTTTATAATGTACAAAGTGATTCCCCAAATAATTCTAGTATTCAATTGACACCATATATGGTAATTAAAATATGATTGACTACTTGAGGCCTGGTTCATGATATTCATGCACTGGGCAGGGTGGGGGGCATCCCTTAGCCTGGCCTGTGCCCTCTCACAGTCCAGGACTCCTCCTCAGGAGATGTCTGCTTGCTGGCTTAGGAGTCCTTAGTGCTGCTATGAAGGGAGAGGCTCCTGCCACTGCTGCTGTGCTCCTCAACTGTGAGCCTTGCTTCCGGCTGAGTAGTGCTCCCTCTGTGGGAACGCACTGACCACCAGGGGGAAGCTACTGCATTGAGTGTCTGCCCCCTGGTGGTCATTGTGCATCATAGCAACCATTCATTTTGCCATTCAGTCAATTTGCATATTAGGGTTCTATTATATGGGATTCCCTATGTTGTATTTTACATCCCCTTGAATATTCTGTAACTACCAATTTGCACTTCTTAATTCCTTCACCTTTATCACCCATCCTTCAACCCCCCTCCCATCTGGCATCCATCACTCTGTTCTCTGTATCTGACTCTGTTTCTATTTTGTTTGGTGCTGAATGACTACTAGATTTACCAGGGTGATCACTCCTTAGTCATATAAATGTCTAATCACTGGGTTATACAGTTGAAATTAATATAATAATATACACTCTGTGGTTGAAAACTAAAAAAAAAAAATATTTAAAAGGAAAAGAGAAAGTAAAAGAATGTGAAAAAAGAAAATTAGCTACATTTCTCTTTGCAATATAGGAATGCTACTAAACTGCTCATTTACTGAGATCCCATGCATAGAAATGTCTCTTTTTGAAGAGTTGAATCATGATACAGAAAGCATGAAATAACTCTTCCTTAATGAATATTATTCCTTTAGTGTTTTACTAAAATGCAACTTATACTTCTGCTATCCTAAAGCAACACAAAATCACTTGTTTGGTTAAAGACTACTAAGTTGGAGTGTTTTCTTCTCTGGAGTTCAATTGCTGCTGTGTTCATTTTTTAATAAAACATGCCAAAGTTAAAAACAGCATAGCCACAGGAGAAGCATTAGAGAGCACTGCACAGCTGAAAGTAAATTTTAAAAAATTGAGTACAATATGATGCTAAAGCCCTCAGTGCCTTTGCAGACTCTATGCTGTGCCTGCAGGTCAAGGCCAACCCCTTTCAGCCTGGCAGATCCCCTATTCAAATTGAGAAATGAGTCTCCTGTGGTGCCACATAGAAATGCCATTGTTGTTCACTAAAAAAAAAAAAAAAAAAAAAACAACAACAACAACAACAAAAAAAAAACAACACTTTTTTTTTAATTTAAAAATAATGTGTAGTGTGTGTGTGTGTGTGTGTGTGTGTGTGTGTGTTTGTGAGTGTGTGTGTGTGTGTGTGTGGTGGTTTTCTCTCAAGCAATCATTAACAAGTACTCAGAATTAGCTATATTAGAATGTAGTGAATAAATGTATCAAGAGATCATATATAGGTCAATTTTTTAGTCCTGTCTTTCTATAATACACTGTTTATAAAGGAACAACAAATAAATAGTGTTTTATATAAGGTGAAACTCATTAGGCATAATAGACAGCAGCAGCCTTTTTATAATTTGAGTTGCACAAAGAAATATTTATCTTCTATTAGAAGCCTAGTGCATGAAATTAGTGCACAGGTAGGGTCCCTAGGCCTGGCCGGTGATCAAAGCCAATGGGGGTCTTCTGGATTCTGGCCAGGGCCTTCCTTCTAGCTGTCAACTGGGACCTTCTTTCTCTGGCTGCCAGCTTCCAGCCAGGGTCTTCCTTCATCTGCACTGTCCCCTCGTGGTCAGCACATGTCATAGAGAGCAATTGAATTTCAGGTCTCCCAGTCTAACTCCCAAGGGAACACTTTGCATATTAGCCTTTTATATATAGAGATTTACCCTTCATGATTTTTAAATGTATATTTTTATTGATTTCAGAGAGAGGGAGAGAGAGAAACATCATTGATGACAGAGAATCATCAAATGGCTGCCTCTTGGATTGCCCACACTGGGGATCAAGCCCACGATCTGAGCATGTGCCCTGACCAGGAATTGAACCATGACCTCTTGGTTCATGGATCAATGCTCAACCATTGAGCCATGCTGGCTGGGCACCCTCATGATTTTGTTTATTAACATTTCTGTGATGGCTTAAATTTTTCATATAGTCTGAAGCACTGAAATGTCAGGTCAAAATGCAAACCATATCAAATATGGGAACTATTTATAGCAATTGAAAACAATTTACCTAGAGTAAGTTCTGCTTTCCAAAATGGGGGGAAAGATAAATCATTATTGATGGGGGGAAATGAACCCTATAACCTGGTTCAAGTGTTTTAAGTTAGGTTTGTGGAAGTAGGGGGGAAGAATGAAAAAAAAAAAAAGATTAGAGTGAAACCTCTCCTACTTAACAATGTCACTGAGGGTTAATTTTAAATGTATATGTGTTAAAAATAAGATTCAGAATTAGGTAATTCCCAGGTTTGCTAGATGATCTACATTAACTGGAAAGAGCAGTTTAAGGTAAAAATACTCCAGGGCAGTGGTAGGCAAACTGCAGCTCCAGAGCCACATGCGGCTCTTTGACCCCTTGAGTGTGGCTCTTCCACAAAATACCATGTGTGGGCACACACATACAGTGGGTTGAAACTTCATGGCCCATATGCAGAAGTCGGTTTTCTGCTCTCAAAATAAATTTGAATCATTGTACCGTTGATATTTGGCTCTGTTGACTAATGAGTTTGCCGACCACTGCTCCAGGGGGAAAATGTGTAGCTCCTGAGAGTGAAAAGCTAAAATTAGGGACTGAGAAATCAGTAAATGAAATGGGAATTTCCTAACTGATCATAAACCTATCCTTAACCTACAGCAACGATTTTCAATCTTTTTCATCTCCTGGCATATATAAATAATCACTAAAATTCTGTGGCACACCAAAAGCCATATATTTTTTTTGCTAATCTGAAACACACGAAAAAATAGTTATAATTTTGATTCATTCACACAACATGTTGTTGTGTTGACTGTTGTCACTTTTGTATTTGACAATTTAAGGAAAAAGAGGTCAGTTTCCTTGACTAAATAGTCAGGTATTGCATGTTTTAAAAATTCAACACTGGTTGAAAATCGCTGACTTGCAGCAATACATACTTGAGTTTTTAACATGTACTGCAATTATTTTGTGCAGGTTATTTTGCAGTGATAGCAAAAGAGTCTTGAGTTGTCATTTAGAATATGCTGTTCTTAGTAAGAAAGAAGGTATTTCTGCCTATGATTCTTATGTTAGTAGGCACTCATATTTTATATTGTGGTTAAATATATATAAAATACAATTTACTATTTTAACAATTTACCATTTTAATGATTTTTATATGTACAACACTGTGGCATTAAGTACTTTGATATTGTTGTACAACCATCACCACCCTCCATCTCGAGAACATTTTTTCTTTTCCAACTGAAACTCTGTGTATGTAGAGCATATGATAACTCCCCATGCTCCCACACCCAAGCCCTGGCAACCACCTTTACATTCTGTCTCTATAAATATGACTATTCTATGTCCTCATATCAGTGGAATCATATGGTATTTGTATTTTTGTGTCTGGTTTATTTTATTTAGCTTAATGTCTTTAGAGTTCATCCATGTATCAGAATTTCCTTCCCTTGTTAAGCTGTATAATACTCCAGTGTATGCATGTACTACTAGTATACTTTCTCCAGGAAGCTGTTGAAGGATTCTTGGGTTGCTCCCACATTTTGGCTATTGTGAACAATGCTGCTATGTATATGGGTGTACAAATACCTATTTGAGTGTGTGCTTCCAATTATTTTTTCTTTAAATAAATTTTTATTTATTTCAGAGAGAAGAAGGGCAAGAGAGATATAGAAACATTAAGGATGAGAGAGAATCATTGATCAGCTGACTCCTGTAGGGAATCAAGCCCAAAACCTGGGCATGTGCCCTGACTAGGAGTTGAAATGTGACCGCCTGGTTCATGGGTTGACACTCAATCACTGAGCAACACAGGCCAGGGTTCAATTCTTTTGGATCATATACCCAGAAGTAGAATTGTTGGATCCTATGGTAATTCTTTTTTTATTTTTAATTGCTTATTATTCTTATTTTTAACTTTATTTTTATTGTTGACAATTATTAAAATGTCCTTTCCCATTCCCTCTGTCCCCCAGCTTTGCCTACCTCCACCCCAATTCCTGCTTCTTCACCACACATCTGTGTCCATGTACTATGCATATATGTTCTTTGGATAATTCACCTTCTTTCATCCAGTCCCCCTTGGCTTCTCCTCTCTGACACTCTGACAGCTGTCAGTCTGTTCCATGTATCCATGCCTCTTGAGCTAATTTGGTTATTAGTTTATTTTGTTCACTAGATTCTACATGTAAGTGAGTTCATATGATATTTGTCTTTCTATGACTGGCTTATTTCCCTTAGTACAATAATGTCCTATGGTAATTTTATGTTTACTTTTTGAGGAACCACTATGCCATTTTTGACAGAAGTTGTACAATTTTACATTTCCATCAGCAATCACAAGGGCTCTAACCCTCACCAGGAGTGGTTATTTTCTTTCCATATTTTCTTTGTTTAAATGTCAATTCAAGTTCTTTGTCCATTTTGAAATCATGCTGTTTTCAAAATCATCAGATCTATGATTTGCAAATATTTCCTGCAATTCTACAGGTTGCCTTTTCATTCTGTTGATGTGCCAAACTATTTAATTTTTATAAAGTGCAATTTATCTATTTTTTCTTTTGTTGTTTGTGCTTTTGATGTAATATCCAAGAAATAATCACTAAATCCAACATTATGAAACCTTTTCCCTAAGTTTGTTTTCTAAGAGCTTTATAGTTTAAGCTCTTACATTCATTTATGTCTTTGAACTATTTTGAGTTAATTTTTGTATAAGCTTTACTCTCATGTACATGAGGAAATTGTTGGGAATGTTGTAGTGATTAGACAGTAGTATATGTTGGACCTTATGCTCAGCACATTTATTATCTCATTTAATCCTCAAATTATCTTATTACTTAAACACTATATATCTGCATTTTGGAAAAGCAGAAAAAGCTACAGAAAGCGAAGATAACTGATCCAAAACCTACTAAACCTACTAAAGTGGCAGTATTGTGATTCAAGCCATTTGTTTTACTACTAAAACCACACACACACACACACACACACATACACACACACACAATTGTGTATAATCACACAATTTTTCAGCTATACCTGGATTTTATTTTGTTTTTTAATTTAATAGTGTTATAGGACATTTCTTTTTGTTTTCTTTTTAAATTGCATAAAGGTATGGAATGACACTGAACAGATGACGAAGCATGATAGACATTAGTTTTCTCCCTCCCCAGTATCTCTCTCTCTGGCTTTTCCAGGCCCACAGAGTGAGATGGTCCTTAAGTCACTGCATGATCAGGGTGCTACCTTTGTAGGGCTCTTCATTCCATGTATCCAGTTCTATTGTACAATTGCATCATCAAATGCTGCTTTTTCCAGTATGTAAGCCTTTTCAGAAGAGTTTGGAATCTTGGAGTAAAAGATTGAGACATTTAGTGACAGGCCAAGTGGAATTAGGTATGTGATCTGTATTTCTTTCTTACTAATTTCCAATGTTTCCTGGTAAGGCTGCCCAGATTTCCACAGGGTGGTTGGTGGTTTGCTTCTTGTCTCCAGATGCCACCTCTGAAAGAGATCTAGAACAATCTTTCATTCTCAAGCAGAACACCTTACTTTCTGGTTGTGTTACATTAGGAATAAGATATTTGTCCCAAAGCTCCAGAGCATTCTTGCAGCTGTCCTGCAGTGCTGTCTGTGTCTTCTTGCGGTATTCTCTTCCCATCTGCTATTGCTTCTAAATCTCTCTATCTTCTGTGCAGTGCTAGAGATAACACCAGAAAGAAGGGGGGGGGCACTCACCACATTCTTGAAGGCTAGAAAGAGCTGGTTTCTCTCTTCATTAGAGAGTTCATGTCCCTGTTCTGTGACTTGTGACTGCCTT